TATCTATCTATCTATCTATCTATAAGTTACTACTGAGGTGCTCTGTGCATGGCACCGTCCCCACACACTGCTCCCCGGGCGCTTAAAACTGCCCACTGTTCACTTTGGTGATGGGTTAAAAGCAGAGGTCACATTTCGTGTGCAGTGGTGTGCTGTGTCACAATGACAAGTAGTTCACTTTCCTTTTCCTTTCCTTCCTCTCCCCCTCACTCAGTCTTTGTCCCATCGTTGTCCAGTGTCATGTTAATGGCACACGGCACATATATGTATCTGCCAGGTTAGAAAAATTCAGAACTGCAAGAAAACAGAAATAAACGGATGACCATACATCACCTCATCCCTCCATACCTGTTTAATCTGCTGGACATTGTCACTCCACCTAACGTCTGCAACTTAGACTATCTTCCTCATTTCAAATGCAAACTCAAAACTTGACTGTTTACGTGTGTGTTTAACAGAGGAAGGGAAGAGAGAAGAAAAATACATTGTATACTGAAGAGCTCAACCTGCAGACTCCTACTGACAGTGTCTAAAACAATATATTGCACGCAGCCAAATTAGGTGCAATAAAATTCAGCCAGATGTGCATAAACCACAACAATTTTCCCAACAGTTTATACTGTTAAAGGCTGCAGAAGGTACTGTCATATTATTGTCTTCACAATTACTTTAATCTCTACAAGACTCCCAGCACTGGATACACTAAAGCATTTCTGTTGCACTTCACCATGTCTGTGTTTTACTGGTCCCTGGTGAGGATGGTGTTCTATGAGTTATGTTCCTCTCACTTTTAGTCAAAACATAGGCAACAACTGAATAGACAGTTGTACAACGCGGTTCAACTGACCATCCAGCATCTAATAGATGGATGGATAATAAATTGCTATGAAAATAACATTACAGAATACTAAAGAACTTGACTCAATGTTTTATTAAAACATACAAACTACTTTAATGAAAAGCCTGTATTAATAGTGACAGAAGGATTCTGCCATCCGTAGTTGTGTAGCAGCCAACGGTGTGTGCTGCCTTCTAGTGGTTGACAGAGAACGTGAACAGAAGACTTACAGTTCATTTAGAAATAAAACAACCCAAACATTTTTCCTCATAAACTTTACACAAAATAGCAATCAAGTGAATTTAAAACAGAGAATAAGAGTATGAGTTTTAAGGATATTTTATTATGTTTAAGTTTTAAAAACAACAGCTGTAGAAATACATTGAAAAAATTGCTACTGTGCTAATAAGAATGATTAAACACGTGTTGACAAAACTACTGCATAGATTTATGAAGAATCTGTGCCAGCAAAAACAAACTGATGTTTGTCTCCACATGAGTCCATCCATCCATCCATTTTCATCTGCTTATCCGTTACCGGGTCGCGGGGGCAGCAGTCGCCACCCAAATCACATTGCACCGTACCAAACCTTCCTGCGGGTGGTGAGTCCACTGGAAGGTACCAACCGCCCTAACCGGGATTCGAACTTGCCCAGGAGGTGAACCCTGGGGTTCCACACCAATGACAGAGACATTGCCTCTGGGCCAAAGCTCCACTTCCACATGAGTCATAAATGCCAATATTGTTAACAATAACCAAAGAGAAAGTGATGTCTTCAACTATTATTTTTTCATTCCAAAGGGAAAGAACTAAAAACATGGATTATTAAATGACCATAAACAGTGGTGCAGAATGTTCCTTCTTTAACTTGGTGAAAAACAAATGTTACGTTAAACAAGTGTTATATGGGAGTCTTTGTCTTAAAAGGTCATGGCCTTGGACTTGAAACTGACCAAAGTTTCCTGCATCTTCTGCACAGAGGCTGCGCTCTCTTCAACAGTTTTGGCGCAGATGCAATGCACCTTACCCTGCGCTAATACACAGTAATGTAATGCAAAAGGTCTTACACAGTTTAAAAAAAAAAAAAAAAAAAAAAAAAACAAGCATGGGCTTAAAATACAATCTCAACCGCAACATTGGTTTGTGGTTTGCCACCCACTTTAAATCAGAACAACCTCGCCGAGCACAAGACAGTAAATAAGTCTAAAGCTAACAAGAAGACTTTGGACTGATTAATATTGCTGCTTTACTAAAGATTTCAAAAACTATAAACAAATTCTCTGTTACTTACTGCTGTTGTGCTGCTTTCTGCTGCTGCACAGCCTGATCATAACATAGCTGACTTTCTGCTTCAGCAGTTTACAGTGGTCTTCCACAGACTCGATTTCTGAAGCCCACTCGTTCCACACACGACTGTTCCTACACGTGTACGCATTTTTGTTACACAAAAATCAAGACAATGGAAATGATAGACAACACGATTGACAGGTTTGCTTGTTTCTTTTTCTTTTATCGTACAGACCAAGATCTTCAAAAAAAAGTGTAATATTTTAATATTGGATCAGATCTACTAACAGATGCACGACAATGGAAAAACCATACCAGAAGTGTTTGCAAGAAATGCCGATGTGTGTGTGATCATTTCCAGTTGTGTGGAGAGGCTGTGGAGGGTCCATACCTGCATATCAGAATCCAGCCGTTCTTCCAGTTTACGAATCTGTTCCCTTAACTGCTTGAGATCATGTATTAGACTTCAACTAAAATGGCATACTACGGAAGCGTATTGCTGCCACAGTGAGAAAAAAAATGGCTCAGTGTCACGTAATTACGTGATAAGTTTCGCGTTATTTCATGATAACTTTTAGGTATTTACGTGATAAGTTTCACGTTATTTCGTGATAAGTTTTACGTTACGTGATAAGCTTTACGTTATTTCGTGATAACTTTCACCTTACAGTGGTCCCTCTCTATATCGCGGTTCTACTTTTGCTCCCTCAGTACATCGCGGATTTTTTAATCCAATCTTTAAACATTAAAAATGTTTTAATTTCCAATATTTTCATTTTTCTAGCCTACAAGGATAAACAGTATTTAAATAAACGAAAAGGCATTTTGCAACACATAAATACATACAGGGTAATACATAAAAAACATGTACAGTACGTACGTTTGGGAAATCTAAGATATATGTACTGTCTATATGATGAGCATTTAATTAATGTAGGGTACCTCAATTGGACACATGATGGCACTGTTGTTGTTATTCGACTGTCGATAACAGTGTGGGGAGGTTCGTGAAG